GTATGTCATAGTTGCACGTCCCTCCAGTTGCTGTATGTGGGACGCGGCCTCAGCATGGCCAGAAAAGCAGTGTGTCGGTGTGCGCCCGGGATCCGAACCCGGGCCACCAGCAGCAGAGCACGTGCACTTAACCGCTATGCCACGGGGCGGCCCAAGACTTTAGTTTTTATTCAAGATTGTTCTGGCTATTCTAGGACCTTGGCATTTCCATATAAATCTAAGAATCAGTTCCTCAATTTCTAAAAAGAAAATCCTTCTAGGATTATGTTTGGGGTTGCATGAAATCTACAGATCAATTTGGGGACAACTGACAGCTGAAGAACATTGAGACTTTTGACCCACAAACATGGTACGTCTATCTATTCGAGTCTTCTTTCATTTCTCTCAGCAATGTCTGGTAGCTTTCAGGGTACAAATGTTGCACTTCTGTTAAAATTTCCAATGTATTTTATGATTTTGGATGTTATTATTAATGCTATATTTTAAAATTTCATTTTCCAACAGTTTTTACTAGCATACAGAAATACTATTGGTTTTGTACACTAGCCTTGAATCCTGCACTCTGGTTAAATTCACACCTTAGTTCCAGGGCCCCTATGATCTCCCACGTACATGCAAATGCAGAGGATTTTACTTCTTCCATTCCAATCTTCAGGGCTTTTATTACTTTTTCTTGCTTTACTGCACAAGCTAAGATCTTCATTACAATGTCAAACAGATGTGATGAGGGTGGACACCTGCCTTGTTCCCAGTCTTATGGGAAAAATGTTCAGTCCTTCACCATCAAGTATGGTATTAGCTGTAGACAGTTTATATAGTTATCTTTTATCAGGTTGAGGAAGTTTCCTTTCATTCCTAGTTTGCTGATAATTTTTTTTGTTCATTGCGAATGAGTGTTTAACTTTGTCTAATGCTTTTTCTACATTGATTGAGATGATCACATCATTTTTTCTCTCTCTCCCGTAATCTGGTAATTTGGTGAATTAATCAACTCATTCGTGTCCAACCAGTCTTGCACGCTGGGGACAATCCCACTTGGTCTTGATGCATTATGCTCTTCATGTTCTGCTGGATTCATTTGCTAATAATTCCTTAAGACTTTTTTTCTGCGCTCTTGAAGAATATTGCTCTGTAATTCCCTTTTCTTGATACGTCCTTGTCTTCGCTGGCCTCAGAAAAACGACTGGGAAGGGCTCCCTCTCCTCTCTCTTCTGAATGAGTGCGTAGGGTCCGTACCGTGTCCTCCCTGAGTGTCTCACAGAGCTCATCAGCGAGGTGCTCTGAGCCCAGAGTTTTCTCACGAGCAGCTGCGTTTTGTTTGTTTTAGTGACCTCAATCTATGAAACTATTCAGATTTTCTGTTTCTTCTGTCAGTGCTGGTAATTTATGTCTTTGAAGGAATTTAACCATTTCATCTAATTGCCTACTTTATGTGCATGAAATTGCTCATACGATTTCTCTTTAACTTTTTATAAATCTCCGACTTCGGAAAAGCTGTAAACTAGTCTGGAGTCCCTGTACGACTGTCACTATGAACTCAATACTATTAAACTGCCAGGCTTACTCGGCTTGCCCCAGTTTTCCCACGCATGTCCTTTTTCTATACCAGGGACGGTCCAGGGTGCCACATTTAACTGTCGCATTCCCAGAGCCCGACAGCTCCTCAGCCTTTAATTGCATTTCATGACTTTGATACTTGAGGACGCTGGTCAGTAATTTTGAAGAATGTCTCTCAGTGGGGGTCTGTCTGATGTTTCTTCACGATTAGATAAGAGCTGTGCATTTTCGCAAGACTGCAACAGAAGTGAGACTGTCCTTCAGTGCACAGATCCCTCCTCTCTGTACCCTGCCCTGAAGTCCAGCAGGATTCGAAGTTGAGGGAGGCCCTACAGCCTTCCACCAACCTTCACTCCATCCACTCGGCAATGCTTCCACTTCCGCCTGCCCTTCACCTCCTTGGGTCTCCCCACTCTGCCTGTACCCCCGCCTTCCTGGCTCTCCCCTCTCTGCCTGCCCCGGCCTCCCCTCAGAGAGCCAGGCAGTCGAGGGGCTCACCTTATGTGTTTCCCCCTGGACCCCCGTCCCACACTGTCTGTTGTCCAACATGAGGACAGCTGTGTCAAGCATTGTGCCCAGTTTCCAGCTGTTTACAGAGAGCAGGGTAGCCCAGTGCCACTTCCACACGGCGCACACAGCATTCCAGGGGGTCAGAAGAGCTAAATACGTGGAAGCCCTAGGAAGGGGAGGCTGTGCCGAATCCACTCAGGTGCCGGGAAGACCAGGCCTTCTGTGGGCACCCTCACGCACACAGCTCTGGGGGTCCCTCTGAGACTGAGCTTCGAAACGGCCCAGCCGTCTTTCAGGGCATCTGACTCTTTGCCAGACGACAGCACCATACACGGGGTCTGAGTGTCAGAATGGCACGCTCTCAGCTGATGCCAAGGCAGCAGTTCTGACCACGGAGCACGAGATGAGGGGCCGGGGCTTCATCCCCAGCAGGCCTGGTGTGCTTTCCTCTCACTCCCTCAACCGATGGACAGTGTGCTGCCATCACTCTTTTTATCAGGTCAACTCTGTCTTTCCGCTTGCCAGTGAGGGAAGATTAACAATATCCAACATGCAGACTAAAGCAAGTAATTACACCTTTTAGTGCACCTGGTAATTTTTATCCAGCTGGTGCTAACACTCAATCAAAATGCCATAAAAGGAGCTTTAGAGAGTGGTAATGAGGCCTGTGCTCTGCCAGGCACTGTGGGGTTTATGCAACGTGGTGTCACGGCCTTGCTCAAAGCAGCCCACCGGCCCCGCCACGCAGGCTTCCTCACCTGGCTGGCGCTCCACCAGGGCCCTCAGCTTCATGTCTACCTAACAGAACTGTCGTCCCGGTAAGGTCCCTCGTCAAGTCCTTTGAAACATCTCGTACGTTTTTATGCTTTTTAAAGCCAGGTGAGGAGAGAGTCCAAAATTGAGGCCCAGATGGACAAGGAAGCACAGCCTGTTGGGAATGTCTGCCCAGGGACCAGAGGCGACCACTGACCTCAAGGTCTCATTAATAGGAACCATGAAAACGACTCCTACCCTTTTGATAAAACGGAAAAATGAATTCAGAGAAAGCATCACGCTTTACTGTGGAACCGGGACACACAGTCACTCCGACACAGTATCTCCGAGTATCTGTAGTTACTCACAGCCTGCCCGGGGCAGGCACCTTGCTGACCATGCCAGTTCCAAACGGCCTGCTCCTGAGGCTTACACACACACCTGTCTGCCCCTCCCGCTGGCGCCACTGTGGCCCCTGGGCAAGCAGTCTGGGGGCCTGTCACCACCCACATGAGTGCACACGGTGGCTCACGCCGGGCCCTGGCCCTAGGGCTGCTGCCCTGGGCGAGCTCGTCCCTCTGTACTTCAGCCACTTCCAGTGTCCTCGGAGCCTCCGGCCACGCAGCCACAGACATGGCTGTTAACCAAACCCAAGACAGTGATCACGCCGGGACGAATGATGCTCCCGATACGAGAGTGGGCTCCTGACAAACAAAAGGAACTGGGAAGACGTGCCCTTTGGACACCTGTCCCGCTCAAGGACACACGTCACCCTCACAGAGCAGGTGCCCGTCAAGCCAGTTAAGAGCTGGTGCTGGTCAGGACGCGAGGGCGACAGGGGCACAAGACAGGCCCACTGGCCAGATGCAGGGAGTAAGGGCACCAAATCAGCAATGGCTGGGGGATGCGACAGTGCCGTGCTGAATGGGGGGACATGGGGGGCACTCTCACATCAGAAACGCCGGGTGGACAGAGCCTTCGGTGAGGAACGGGACAGCCACATCATGGCACAGGACCTCGCTGCAAATACTAATCACCCAGGGAAAAGCAACTTCGTGGGAGGACCAGCCGGGCCGCCCGACTCAGGGCCGGGCCAGGTGGACGCTGCCCCCAGGAGGAGAGTGAGAAGGGCCTCCTAGCAGGGATGCAGGACCCGAGGCTGGTCAGGAGGGCACCACACTCAGCCAGTGTCGGGGTCACGGGGAGACCGAGGACCATCGGGACCGAAGGGGACCCAGCGAGGCAGGCCTGATGGACAAGCAGCTTGCTCTGGGGCGGGCCAGGAATGAGCTCTCTGTGGTGAGCCCCAAGGAAAACAAAGCAAACAGACCCCTCAGCACCTCCGAACACCAAGGTTCCCAGGGAAGAGAAATCAATATTTTATAAGGATTCTAGCGTAAGAATGAAGATCTTATTAACAATGGTGAGAGTGGAAGAGAAAGCGAGCGCAAGTTGACAGATTCTGTAGTACAGTCGGAGTCAAAAAGAAGCAGCCAAAAGGAACTCCTGAGTTTAAGGGTCAGATGATGTTTCTGAAAAACTTACAGGCAACTGTTAGTGAAGGACGTGCTCCTTCCAAGGTTCTGTGGAAGACAGAAGCGGAGGAACCCTCGTCTCCAGGGCCTAGCAAGAGAGCGTGAGAAGAAAAGGGCATAGCTGAGCAGCTGAGCCAGCAGACGCAGAGCACACGGCTGCCGGCAGCCGCCTGGAGTAACGGGAGAGAGTGGAGCACAGCCGGCTCTGACAAGCCGTGCCCCAAACCACATGGGCAAGGCGTCCAGAAGACAAGACCCAACAGGCAGGGAGACAGAAAGGAAGCTGGTGTGGCCTTCTCGGGTGAGAATCACAGGTGACGGTGTGTCCTCACCCGTTAACGCTCTTCCCATATAAAATGATGTGAAATGTTTCCGCATTCCAGAAAACACCAGGAGGGTGGTGGAGAAAGGCAACCGAGAGGCTCTCCCACACGAGTCTCCTTGTGAAACGGATCCAGAGTCATGGTTGTGAACACAGAACATGGTTGTGTAAAGGGCCAGGGAGCTCCAGTGCTCAGAGAGGCCTCCGAACATCACAGCTGAAGGGATACAGCCGGCCCCCTGGGCCGACTAGAGGGCAGCGAGGAGAGCAACTCGTTTTTAGTACATTTCCCCCCAAATATAACAAATAAAAGTTCTACTTACTGCTCCCAGCATGATTCTGAAAATCAGCCACCGAAAGCCCCACACAACAATCTGGGATGTGGGTGTCCCTCTGGGCAATCGAGACAGAGTCCAAAGAGGGCACAGGAAGATTCCCAGGAATCCCGTCTCCAGAAGCTGGGACTCCCATCCTGGAACGACAGGAGGAGACAAAAGGCACATGAACAACAGCCGGGAATTTTCCAAAGAAACGAGCCCACCAAACTCAGGTCAACTTAAACAGGCCTGACAACAGGACAGATGGTGCCACTGAGAGCACATCTCAGCCTGAGTCAGGGCGCCTCTTGGTGGCAGCAGTGGGACTGTGTGGCAGGGCCCTGAGCTGGGCCCTCCCAAATCAGACCACCGCCTCCTGCCCTTTGCAGGGCGCTGCAGAGACGTGACGAGGGCCCCACACTGAACACACACAGCCAATGGCCTTCCGGAAGGCTTTCCGATTCAACAGGGTTGCATGCGAAATCATAGCTTCGTGTGTCCTTCCCTGAGAAGCATCTACCAGGATGGACAATGTGCGCTCAGGAGGCGAGACAACCTCAACGTGAGGTTCTGAATGCAGAGCTGACTCTGGTCCCCGTCGGCCCCAGGTGAGGGAGGAAGCCACAGGGAGACACGGGACAGGCACAGGTGACACGGCCCCTATTGGCCCCACGTGAGGGAGGAAGCCAGGGGAGGAAGCAGGTAGAGGTGATGGCGGCTCCAAATGAAACCGCCTCCTGTGGGCCCCACACGGGCTCAGCCTGGCACCACAGCAGCCCTACTGCTGGGTGTTGGCCTTAGCTAACTCTGCCGTTGGGAACCCCACGTGGGCTGTGAAGGTGAGCTCAGCCTGAGTTCTCATCCTCACAGCAGAGGTGGCGCTCCAAGTTCTGGTAAAAACTCAGAGTCAGCCCCCATCGTGGAAACACTGCTCCTACGGCGTCAGAGGAAACCCAGGGCTGGGAACAGGTTTCAGGCTGTTGCCAGTTCAGCCCTTCGAGGCACCTGCACTTTATTTTGCTTATTTCATCCCATTTCGACAAATCTCAAAAACATTATGCTGCGTGAAAGACACTTTAGACAAGGGTACATACTGCAGGATTCCATTTATAGAAGGTTCTAGAATGAGCAAAACTGAGGCAGGTGAGAGAAAGAGGAACACGGCTGCCTGGAGAGTGCGGGTAGGGGAGGCTGGGGTGACACTGCGGCCTGGTGGGGGTGGGGGTCACGGGGGCACATTTGCCAAGACTCATCAAGGCACCCTGAGGTCTGTGCATTTCATTGTTTGTAAATTTCTTCCTCAAAAAAACGAATAAACCAACCCTAGTTTTTAGGGCTGGATGTACAGATCTTGATGTCTGCAACTCATGTGGAGATGCACTACATCAGGATGAGGAACAAAAAGATATGTGATCCAGCCAGCAGACCAGGGGCCCAGCCACCCTAGAAGCTAAGTGGGGGTTTATGGGTTTTCACCGTACAGTTGTTTGAAACGTTGTAGTTTGAAATTTGTCATAATAAAATGGGTAGAAATCCCATTTACTCTCATATCTTCTGTGGATTTCTGAAACCCCAGGTCCAAATCAGTTCTTCTTTGGGAGAGAAATGGGTCAGTTTGCTGCAAGGAGAGCAGCCGTGCCCGGCGCCAGGGGGGACAGGGGAACCGTCATCTGGCCCGAGGGGCAGCGAGTCTCACCCTGGATGGGCCAGCGTGGCATCTCCATGGGCTCACTGCCTCGGCTGACGACGTGCAACTGTGCTGGGGACTCTGGAGGCACCAGTGTGCACCCTGCACCTGTCTGGAGATGATTCCAGAAGCAGAAAGAAGCCTGGATGGTGCTGGGGAAGAGGGGCCGTCGGGAGGGAGTGATGCGAGGCAGGTAGCCAGAGCCCACAACACCATCACGCTGCAGCCGAGCCCATATGATGACGGCCGGGGGCCTGCTGGCAGAGCTGTCACCCGATGGGAGAGGAGAGCACAGAGCCGCGGGGTGATCTCGCCAAGGCTGGGTGGGGAGGCGTCGGTACCACCCTTCTGCCGGGACTCGATGCGTGGGATGCCCACGCGGGCTCAGTCCAGCCCCTCCAGGGCCCACCTGCACCCCACCCAGAACCAGGCACACACCCCGACTTCCCCCGAACTTCAGGAGAGAAAAATGCAGGAAGCGTCTGTAGCTGTTTTATTTCATGAGACTTCAGACCCAGACCGAGCCGTGTTCTGAGTCAAGGTTCTCCCTCCCCTTCACGGTGAGAGGAGACCTCTGCTTTACAACTTCTCCAAACTCCCCTTCTTGTTTCAAACAGGAAAGAATGGACTTTGTTCCTGATACGACACCTTCCCTAGTTTTATCTTGAGAGATAATTTTCATGGAGTTTGGACTCACGTCACTGGGGTACATTTTATGATAAACGTGATCTTACGGCCCCAGGACACCGCGGAACATGGCGTGGCTATCACCGCGGCTCGAGCGTACTCAGGGACAGACACTTCTGCTTTCTGAGAAAGTACCTCAAAGGCCACCTTTCCCACCCATCCTCTACCTGCCGGTGAGAAAACTCAGGAAGCAAGAGGGCCTGCCGCCACTCAGCTCTGTGGGCAGAGCAGGTGGATGCGGAGTATCTGGGCAGAGCCGGGTCAGGCACAGAGAGAGCCAGGTCGGAACAGCCACCCAGGGAGCCTGGAGGCGCCGCTGCACCCACTGGAGGGCGGAACCCTCGCTCAGCTCCACAGGGCAAGCCTGCCTTGTTCACGCACTGCAAATCCCTCATCAGCCCGAGACGCTCACGTGGGCGAGCAGAGCACTCCCCAGAGCCAAGGCCTGCCTTCTCCAACTGTCACGCTCTGCACAGAGGCAAGGAATGGAATTTTAATACGCAGTCTGAGTGACACCAATCAAAGTGATATGCAAATGGCAGAGCCCAGAGACCCACCTAAGCGCCAGGAAGCAGGTGACGAGGGACATGTTGTCACCTTAGGGACGAATGTGTACTGGCAAAGGGTCATCTGGCCCTCCTGCCTCCTTCTAAACCTACCAGAACATTCCTTACCCTCCTGGGGTACACGGAGCCAGATGTGCGGGGCCTCCTGCCTCTACCCCACCCCCACCTCGCCAGAGCTGTCTTGCAGACCCAAGCTGAAGCGCGGCCACCAGCACTGGCTGACACCGCTGGGCAGGAATAGGTCGCCTAGACCCACCTGCTCCTGCTTTCTCCGCCTGGATCCTGTCGGATCTCAGCAGCTGTGCTGCTCACACAAGGAACACCATTGTTCTCTGCCTTGGCGTGGGGGAGGCGACCCCAGGAAAACACATGCCCCGTGCGCGGCCGGGTGGCTTCCCATGGCCCAGAGGCTGTGTGCCTGCGGATGGCTCAGCTCACTGCCAGGACATTGCCTACTGGGCTGGGCAGGCGATGGCTTCTGGAGGAAGTGCTCCAACAGTAACAAGGCCAACCTGAACAGAGTCAACAGGTTCCACTAGGAGCCTTTGATCAGCCGAAGTCACAGGAGGACCCCTGTGCCGTCCCACCTGTACCCACATCCACTTCTGGAGGAATAAGGATCACCGACTCTTCCACTCGGCGTATAAACGCCCATGTAACAATTTCAGTTTGAAGATGGCCCTGGAAGTTTCCACTCTATTGGATGTTTCTTGGGGATGGTCCATCGAGGGCCTCCAGGTCGGACAGCGGCAGCTCAGGCCCCTGAAGGCTTGGATCAGCCATGGACGAGCAGATGTGAGCGGTCAGAACGAGCGGACACTCTCCTTGCTCTAGCTCTCTTGGCCTATGCTCCTGAACCACCGTTTACAACTCCAGGGCATGGGGCTTTTGGCCTGTGTCTGCCAGGCAGCTGCACACGAAGTGTGAGGAAAGGCCCCCATAGCACAGGCTGAGTTTGGACCCTCAGCACGTTTAGACAGTAGAAACACAGACCCTCGGTCTCCCAGCCCAGCTTCGGACCTGGGGTCCCTTCCTCCTCTGCCCTGCTTGGGGCACCTATCCCCAGATGAACCAGCGTGGAAGCGGTGCTTCCATCTCTCCTCTCTCCTCAGGGGCATGTGAAGAGCGAAGATGCCCCTCTACTGAAGATCCAGGACACTCGCCACCCAGAGGCCTGCCCTGTGCCCGGTGACTCAGGGCATGCGGCAAAGGGGTGTCATGCCCTCAGGGTAACAGCAAGGTGGGAGCCTGGCTGCTCCTTACCGGGACAGTCTTGCTGACCGTTTGCTCTGGGCAGGAAGAGTGGAGATGGGGAGGCCAGTGGACAGCCGGCCAACAAGGGGGCCGCTGGGCCATGGGGGCTTAGAGGGTGGCCTTGCCCAAGCCACCATGGAGGTCACCCAAAGTCAAGGTCAACTCACACAGGCTAAGCCACCTCTGACCAAGGAGGGAAATGTCACCTAAACAATGTTTCAGAGGTGGCCGCTCCAGAAAGAACATACCAACCAAGACCTCATTACCATCCTTGAAACTATTAAAGTTACTTAGCACGAATAATTAAATATTGCATGTACGGATCCTTCAAAAGTGACAGCCACCATCCACGTTAGAAGAGGAAACCCATTAGCTTCACAGTTAAAAACAGGGAAACGGAGAGAAGCGCTTCCCTCCTGAGGGGCTGTCACTCCTGCACTGAGTGCCACCCTCGGCAGCCCGCCGGGGCTCCTAATGACGCCCTGGAGAGCACTTGGAGCTCTCAGAAGTGACTTTCTGAATCTTCGTAGGTTACGTCTCAGGATGGGATGTTATGGAGGCGTACCAGACCTTGCCTGCACAGTCGTGACATGGCAAAGGAGGGCTACTGGCTGCAGAAACTCAAGGGGCCATTTTTATATCTCCAGGATAAGAAAGCCCCCAGACACAGTTCCGGGGTGACCCTGCTCCTCACAGGCAGCAACACCTTCTTTGTCACGGAGCACCGGACCTCTGCCGAAATGTGGTCAGAACCTGCCGTAACGAGAACGAGGGCTCAGGAGAGCCAACGCGTGAGATGTGGGGTGCATACTGAGGGTGACGGGCCAGCCGCGGGAGCACCAACGTCCTGGCCCGCTGTCCTTGGCATCAGTAGGGATGGTTCTGGGTCCTGCTCACACCCCCACCTGGGGCCTCACGGTGGGCATGTGCCTAGGTCCAAGGGGCCAGCAATGGCTCCTGG